TCCGGGGGACTTGGCCCCCGTTGTCTTCGTCTTCTCTCGCGAAAGACAAATGAAGTTTCCGGAAATTTCTTAGCATCGAGAAATGTCAATAAAGTACCTCGTGAAAGATGGAAACGTGCCTCGTCGCGCGTATTGGCAAATTCTTCGTTATAATAAATCGCAAATATGCAACACGGCGTAAACTTCTTCTTTGTTTCAACGTTTAGTAGGACCTCGAATCGTTACGAACGTAACAGGATTATTTTATTGCAATTATAATGCATTTAGATTCGCATCGATTAGTTAGATGATGGAAGAATGCAATATACTCCGGTGCGAGGATCCAAGATGGCCAGGAAGAAGAGAACCGTCAAAGAAGAATAAGCATCGTTTAAATTGTGCAATAAATTTGCATTACGTCGTCCGTTTGATTTCACCCCCGAGTCAAGAAAGAGAGGAAGGTTCGAGGGAAATATTGCCAGCGTCGCCAAGAAAGGAATATTTGTCATATTACTCCTGGCCCCGAACCCGGCGACACTTTTATTCCGCGGTGCTCGTTTGAAAATCCGCGAGAGCTGAAAAGAAAAGGCAGATCGGAAGAGAGTAACCGGTTATCCAGAAATCGCGAAGGAGAAAACCGCGCGCCGTATCAGTTTTATGTCGTCCTCGTCGACTTCCTTCCGCGGGCGCAAGAAGCGAGGGAGGGAGAAGGATGGGGGGGGGGGTGGAAAGGGGCTGGTGCAGGACCTCGAAACCCTGAAATACAACCAATTCGCAAGCAATTCTCGACGCGCCTCGGGCGGTCCGCGCAGAGGAGGACCGAGGAGAAAGAAGGAGAGCAGTTTACGAGAGGGTCGTGGAACCGGCGTGAAAAAAATCGCCCGGAGAGAAGAAACCTCGCGAACGAGAATTAATATTCCAGACAAACGTGACAGATAGATCAAATCTGCATCTCACCGGGAGCGCTCGGTGTCAATTTCGACGGATTATCGCTTCTTGTCTCGCTTCCTTCCCACCCCCCAAACCTCACTCTTCGTCTTTCTTTATCCCTCTCGCCTTCGATCGCCGTCTGTTCATCCTGGTCCCTTGGAACTTACGATTCTTCGTACTCTGAACGGATACTGCGTCGTTCTCGACAATCATAAGCACAAAATTTTATTTGGATGGAGGGAAAATCAGAAATCCAGAGATTAAAAGCCTCGAATTAGCACCAATAGCTCGTAACAGAAGAACTCCGAGAGCTTTTTGTTTTTTACTTTCCCCGGAGAATCGTCCTCCCAGAGTTCTGTAGATAGAAGAATTCTCGCAATTTGAGCCGGTAAACTTTCGCTCCGTGGAAAGTTCGAGTCAGCCTTGGGCCCTTGGTCACGGGAGTCTACGCGACCCCTGCAAAATTTGCAATATTATAGATTCTCGATGATCTCGAGTCGAGGAAAGTTTCTAGAAAAATATTTATCGAACTCCCCCGGTTTCTCTGTCGTTGTATTATTGTCCTAGTCTACTTTATAAATTATTTTTGAAGCGTAGGGTCGCCTAATTCCGATCGTTGTTCCTCTCGAGCGGAGATAAACTGTAGTTTCGATCGCCGGCGAATGGAAAGCCACTAAAAAGCCGGATGAAGGGGGGTTCTGGGTTGGGTCCAGCGTGCGTGGCACCACGTTCTACCTGGACACATGCGACGGGACCGGACTAGATACAGGATCGCACACTGTCGCGTCGAATTCACACGCACGGTCGGCTCGTGCGCACCACGTGGCCAGACAATAGGACGATTCTAATTGGGCCTTTGGACGTGGCCGGTCGATAACGAAAAAAACACGACAAAAAAGGCGACGAAAGGGGGCTTATCCGTGGAACAACCCTGACGCGTACAAGAGCACGATCATCTCTCTGTTCGTCTAGCTGAACCCGGGATGGGGTTAACGCGAGTTGGTACCAGGAGGGGGACAACGAAACGAGTTTCACGGACCGTGATGAAATTTTAAAGAGACACCGGGCGAGCGCGGGATCAACAAGCTGTTACGTAATTATGATCGTTTGCATTAATCACTCGTTCCTGTGAAGCGAGAGGCTCTGCGGTTCCGTTGCAACGCGAACTAACCCTTCGGGTGCGAACACCGACCGACCCCAGCGTGCTGCGTCTGCTTGCAAACCAACGTGAGACGGAATAAGGTGTGCAGTAATGACCTTCGACTCGTTACTAGATCGGGGTTCACCCTGCAAGAGCGACTCGAAAGACAGGTAGGCAGGATTCCATCGACGATGCTGGAAACGAGCGACGTACGAACCTTCCATCTTTGGACGCGTTTAGGGTAGTTATTGGACTCAGTTTCTGATATTGTTATTTATTTGAAGAAACTACCCTTTGGTACGAATAGAACATTAGTAGATATGTTAACAGGTGGTCTTGCATCATTCAGAAATTGTACATTTTAACTTTTTTAACATTTCGTCTCCGTGTTGTTTACCTGACTAAAATTACCTTCCCGTTTATCGATTAAATAAAATAAAATATTAGGTAGATTTGTCTTCTGTTTCGGTCGATCTTGATTTGTACGCGTTGTGTTTGCTGTATTATTATTTGTCCGTTCTATTACCAAATGTAAGTGTTATTATTTCCATCATATCTTGAAACCTGTCCCCAATAATTATCCGTAATTTCAGAAAAATAGGGCAAAGTTTCCAAGCGTCGTGTCCCTATATTATAAGTTATGTCGTTAAATTTCTGATTCTCGAATCGTGGGAGGTTCTTTGCCCCGGTCTCGAGCGAGTCTCGCGCTGAAAGAAATCCGCGTCCGCGGAGGAATTTTCAAAGCGTAGCGCGTCTGATAAAATTATTATCCGTGGCGAACGGAGTCTTCCCTGTAATCGTCGCTTTCGAACGAGAGACAATTAAGACTCGAGGAGCTTTAAGTACCGGAGGGGGGTCGTTCCACCGAACGTAATAATATTTACAAAAGTGAGAAGACGCTAATTGTAAGAAGGGAAACAGAGGAGCCGGGACCAGTGGCTCTCATCGCGACGCGTCTTGGCGATTCGCTGCTGGCCTCTCCACGTTTCCGTTTCTCTCTCCGTCGCTCTCTGTGCGATGCAAAACAGGCCGCCGCGTCAATTTGCACAGGTAAGCACTGGAGTTAAGAATCTCAAAGGCTGTGCTTTCAATTCATCAAGGGCGTCGGGCTGCATGAATTTTGTTTGAGCCGCGGCGGCGCTTCTTTGAAGTTAATCGGAGTAAACCGACGCGATCGCGGCGTCGATTCGTCGGGACGAGTGGGTGCGAAATTAAAGTCGTCACCCTTTTGTAACCGCGAGTCGCGATTGTGCGGAACTCGGAGAACCCGACGCCACGAGACGCGAGGTCGAGGGGTCAGGTCGTCGCCGGAAATTTGCAAATCGAGAATCGAGGGACAGTCGGAATTTTCGAATCACGAACGGTGGGGTGAAATTTTCATCCCCTCCCCCTTCTGCGTAAATAAAAGAAATTAATCGGTATTCTCGGTTGGCGCTTTCTGTGCGTGTTAAATATTTCTGCCGGGTCGGAAGCTCGAGCACACAGGAAATTAATATCGCAAAAGTTTGCTCGAAGTTGGTACGCGAAAATAGGTGCAACGTACCGAGACGATCGTGTACGAGACTCGTGACAAGACTTCGCACGTTTACACGGTAACAATTCGTGTAATTACTCCGTAAGAATGCTCGAGGCATTCATTAATGTGCGTCGTAAGAGATTTTCTGTTCGAAAGTTCGCGGTGTTCCGTAGAAAATTTCTCCTTCTTTCGTCCGGTTCTTCTTTATTTGTTCAACAACCGACCCCATAATAAGTCGAAGCAAAAATAATTTTAAGTAGAGGACACGGTACGAGCGTGGACGTTTGCGCGTTAAGCTGTTCAAAATATGACAATGTGGCCACCGATAAAAAGGGGTCACGTAGAGGGGGGTGTGTGGGGGGAGACTGTGGGGGCAGGTTCACCCCAATTCCCGAGCGAGCTCTTTAAATTCAAAAATCGAATCCACCGCCGCATTGTTCGTGCCCGTTGAACCACGATCGACATCAGATGGCAGCCTGTAACTGTACTTTAAAACTCCCTTTTTTCTCTTTCTTCCTCCCCCTGACCATCGAGTCCGAAAGCAGAATTTTCAGCGCAGATGGATATCGTTTTCCGGGGCGTTCGAGTCGATGTTTCGATTTTTAGTAATTTCAAAGATTCCTGAGAATCAACGCTGGCTAATTTATTCTCAATTAAAAGATCGTCAACCACTCTCAAGCATCCGGGACACGAAACTATAGTCCAAACCGAACACTCGAGGGACAAAAAACGATAAGTTGACACGCAGGTTTTCGACGAGCAGGCGGAAACGGAATTTTCTTCCGCGATTCGCCTCGTCCCCGGTCGTAAAGTCTCTCCTAGATCGTTTCCGATCTGCTCGAGCGTTGGTCCGAAAGCTTCATAGAATATGAAAGTCACGGTGAGCATTTGTTGCCGGAACATACGCGCAGTATTTATAGAGATCGCCTTGACTCGCGAGACCCGACGCAGAACTCGAAGCTGAATATGTCAAAACATCGTGAATGCGCTTTGCTAGCACGTGTCTCGGTTTTCGGCGTCGTTGCTCGATATTCATGTTAAAAACTGGTAACTGGAACCTTCCGATCATCAGATAGAAAGTACGATTTTTCCACGCTGGTCAGAGTTTGTTGTTACTCTTATATACTTAAAATTTCTGGGCAAAATCACAGATCTGTATAATTCGTGAAACGTAAGAATTCATTACAACGGTGAATTTTACCAAATTTCGTACGATTCGAGTGATTCTAATCCCAAATATCTAACGTGGTTTGTACAAGAAACAGTCTTGATCTCGAATGAAATTAAATATTACAACTTCTTACTTCCATCCCTCGATCACCCTCAATTTTTGACTCGTTTGCAAATCGTAGCTGTTAAAGAATAAATTCCTCGAGGGGTTCTAGAATTCCTAAGGGTGGAGCAAAGGGTTAAATAGGAGATCACGGGACTCACCGGAATTGACTGTGTTCGTGTCCGCGTCCACGGACTCCGTCTTGGGTTTCTTCGGAAGATCCTCTTTATCCTCGTCGGAGGGCTCCGTCCGTCTTTTGGGCGTCGAGCTGGCGCTAGCCTTCAGCTCGATCGGGCTTCCGGTGTCCGGGCCCGAGCCCTGAGGCGTCGGAGGGCTTTCCAGCCTGCCCCCCGCCCTTTTGTTGATGGGCGCGGATATGCTGGGCACGGAGTTGAGCTTCGAGTCCTGATCGACGGCCTTCAGAGCTAGGGCGTCCTCGGGATCGGAGTCCTCCGGAGCAGCCGTCGCCGATGGACTGTGGCAGCCCTGGAGCGTGCTCCGACAGTGGTTAACCTTGTGCTCGATGAACCGTACGATCTCGCCAAGGGGGTAGGACGCTCTGCAACCCCCGCATTGGACGGTGTCTGGGGATGTGGTACCTTGCGAGGTTTCCGCTGCAAACGAAACAGTCGCTTTAGGGCTCGTTTCTTCTATATTCTAAATAATCACTAAGCGCTAGATCAAGTCAGATATACTAGGTCGTCCCAGAAACTATTGCATCTTCCTTGGATAATCTTTTCTCTTAGTTCAAACTGTCCCTCTAAACGATGGCAACGATCAAGCTGGTTTGTTCTACCCTATTAAAATCAAGCGTGTAATATTTTCTGGCACATCCTAATATCTGTAACGAGGCAAACAATTTTGGAAAATTGAGTCGATCTGCAATACGGGGGAAAACGTATCGGACACCGTAGGTCACTTTTCATGGGTCCTTTCCGTCGCGCAGCACGCTTTCGCTCGGATTTTCACAAGTGGGCCCGCTTCTACTCGTTTTACAAAAGAAACACACGCACGGTCCCGTGAAACTAAACAGATCCCCTCAAGTATTTGAGGATACGAGCACTCGAGGCCCCTCCTCTTCGACCTGTGTCCTGGCCCACCCAAGAAATTTGCTTGTCAACTGCTTATCTCGGGCCTAACAAAATATTCTTACGGTTTCTATTCGTTCTTAAAGCCTACGATGCAGCAAAATTCTACTTAAAAAGCTACTACGATAACGCCAAACTCCAATCTTAGAGAAACACCTTTAATTTCATACGTAAAATAGTTCAACAAACGAGGTGGCTAAAATCCAGAGAACGCTCGTGGCCGCAGAAGCTCTAAGCCCGGAACTGCGTATAGTCTTGCGACTTTTCCAGGTCGAAACTCGAGCAAAGCCATCATGATCGTAGACAAAGCAAAAACATACAAGCGACCAGTGGCTCCGTAAAGAACCTACTCTTTGGGATTCTATTTCTAAATCGTTTTACCCGCGGCGATAGCGGTCGCGGATTCGTAATTAAATCGCGGTCCGTGCATAAATCCGTACCCACGTAGCCGGATTTCGTGCGTTTCGCGCGTGGAGAGCGAACGGAAAGGGAAATTTAGTTAGCCCCGAGGAAAGCGGGGGTAGCCGGCTGATATAGAGATCTAATTTCCTTCTACGCAGCTCTTATAATTCACCGAGGTTCGAGGGTCTAAGGTCCCGGGGTCAGCCGCAGACGTAACAATTCACTTTTAAGTGTCCTCGAGGAGACCTCCTGGCGGGGATCCTCGCGGCTGTTGGTTGCCCTCCGCTCGCAGTTCGGGGCCGCCATTAACATAGAGATTGGCAGGAGTTTCATACATCGATCTTTTCCCTCGGCGAGTCAAGTATCCATATCCATTCGGATAGGAACGCCAGCCCCGCGTAAAAACAAGAGAACCGTCTGCCCCGTAGTTCTGCCTATTGTTCGCTGCCCGACTCCTCGCGTTCCTCCTCGTCTTTTACGCTCGCCCTTCCCTCCGCTTTCATTGCAAGACGTTCCCCGGCGAACGTGACTTCGTCCTTTTATTCCCTCCAACATCTCCTATCATCTGTCCGGCCCGTTTTTCCTTTTTCAACTCGATCCTTCCACCCCGTGCCCTCTACGTGCACCTATACACGCGTCCCTCTTCATCCCTTTCTGCGTTTTACGTCGATGCGCGCAGACCGTTCGATTCTTTCGGGGCGGAGCTTTGATTGACCACTGGACAGCGCGCAAACGCGGCCTCCCTTGACCGTCGTGCCACCTTCCATACCCAGGAATTCAATTTTTACGGTTGGAAATCCATTAACAGGTTTCTTAACCTCTTCACGTACGATTCAATTCCTAATAATCTTTCGAACATATACTATTTAAAGTTTATATTTATTTATACTAGAAATGGCCGTGAGAAAGAATAGATTTGTTTTACGAATATAAAAATTGTTGATTTTAATATATAAAACTCGATAACAATGGGGGTAGTCTTATGATTGCGATACTTGACATCAAATTTGTCCACCAGGAATTTTTTTCTCGAAAGTGCGTAGGATTTCGGGGGTATGTGTATTCATCAAAAATGATTGTAATTGACCCCTACAACCGAAAATAATTTTTTTAGAACGATTTGAAATGTTTTAATTTCGTCCAAAAATTTCTCCACATACTCGAATTTTTTTCTCGAAAGTGTGTAAGATTTCGGGGGTATGTGTATTCACCAAAAATGATTGTAATTGACCCCTACAACCGAAAATAATTTTTTTAGAACGATATGAAATTTTTAATTTCGTCCAAAAATTTCTCCACCTACTCGAATTTTTTTCTCGATAGTGAGTGGGATTTCGAGGGTATGTCTATTGACCAAAAATGATTGTAATTGACCCTTGCAACCGAACATAATTTTTCCAGAATGATTTGAAGCTTTTCAATTTCGGCGAAAAATTTCAGCAGTAACCCCTGACGATTTTTCTTAAATATTCGTTTTTTATTTTTAATAAGCTTGTTTGACGTTGTACGGAAATATTGTCTAATACTTTTTTGTATGTATCCATGGGCTCAACTTCAGAAAAAAGTTTCATTGAAATATACTCAGTATTGTAGGAGTTATGGGTGTTTGGAAATTGGACCACTTTTATGGGGTTTTTGTCGCTTTACGAAGCCAAGGACCAATTTTTCCAAAATTTTTAGAATTTCTACATATTCTTTATCAAAATACGCGTTGTTTGCCATTTGAAACTTTAAAATCCTCCAATCCGTTCAGAAGTTATGATGATTTAAACATTCGCATGAATTTTCCGGCCAAACGTTACATTTTCGTTTAGGAATTTTTTTCTCGAAAGTGCGTAGGATTTCGGGGTTACGTCTATTCACCAAAAATGATTGTAATTGACCCGCGCAGTCAAAAATATTTTTTCCAGAACGATTTGAAATTTTTCTTTCGCTGCAAAAATTTTCCCGTCGGTATGGAACTTTAAACGTTAATAATTTTTTAACGAAGCCTCAAACAACTAATTCGTATTCTTGATTTTCGTATTATTTTGGCCTCTAGAATCTCCCATTCAAATTTTTCCCAGAGGTGACCGAACCTCTATAAGACTCGATGACGAGTAGTCTCACGATTACGAAACTTGACATCAGGAACTTGTGACGTGTCAGGGTTAAGAATCTACCACTTTCAACAGTCAAGGTTAACGTTGAATTTTCGAAAAATCGAATATCCATTTTACGTGCCCTCAGAAAAATTTATTCTCACTCGTAGGAGCTATCAATTCTGATGCGTTTACAAAGTGCTGCAACAAATTTAAAATCGAGTAGCGTACGACTATTTAAAAGCAAAATACCCGATAGTTTAGCCGTTTTAAAATAAATTTCCCGCGCGAATAGCGTAAAAACGAATTTCGAAAGGGAGTTTCGATCCGAATAGACGGCTCCTCGCGCCGCAATCAAGATAAGCATTCATTCCCGAAGCAACGTCGTCACCGGTTGCGAGTTTTCTTCGCGAGCGTTTCGAATTCCCCCGTCGCCGGAAGGACACCGTACCTGGGGCGAACAGGAAGCGAGATAAGTTGGGCCGTGCGCGCGGATCGTACGAGACAATCGTGTCCCCGAGATGGCACGGTAGATGTTGATCGTTCGGTGATCGACAACGAAAGAAAAGTCGCGAAGAAAGCGCGGATGAAAATTTTGAAAGGCCGAGAACGCGGTGGCGACCTTCTCTAACCCGAAGAGAGGGGGGGTGGGGTGGGGGGGGAGGAAAGTTGGAAAGGACGAGGAAGAGGGCAAAAAGCGAGATCGAACGGAAAAGGAACGGAGACCGGAGGGCCCCGGGTCCTCTGAATGGACTTCGGGGTCCGTTATTCGCCTACGATTCAAAAGCGCTCGGTTAGAAACAAGAGACGCGCGACCGGTCGTTAACGACAATGGGCTTTTGTTTTTTCGGGGGCAGATGTTGGACCGTGGCTACGGGAGCTGCGACGACGGGTACGGGAGACCCGCTACCCCTGGCGTTCGCCTCGACAAGGCCCCGCGCCGAAGGTGAGCGAAGGAGGAACACCCGACCGACACGTGTCTAACCTCGTCGCTTCGTGAATCTCCCTATACCGCGCACGCGCTCACCCGACCTCCCGATGGAACTTTGTCTTCCTTGGAACCTGTCCGCGAACCGCTCCGAGGGAGACACGCGCTACGATCGCTCATTCCTACAACGGTACAACGGTCCCAACCCCAACATCACGACCCCGATTGTAATTATTTGAAAAATCAATTTCATTCTCCAAATCGTACCAATCGCGATATCTCTTATGCCTCGTAGCATGTGGGACTACATTATCCACATGAAAACAATAAAAAAATTCACATAAACATACGTCCTATGCGGCCTTGTTTTCGAGCTATGTTGCTATAGTTATTTCGAAACATATTAATGAACTATGCTTCAACTTTGTATTCTGTAAACATTCGAACAATTCCTGGACAAATGGATGACACAGTCGATGATAAAACGTCTCCACCGCGAGAATACAAACTTAATTAGCTTCCCAGTTGGCACGTTTATGTTTATTGCAAAATTAGGGACGTCGTCGCGGCCGTTGAGCGTTTATTGGCTCGATAAGGAACGTGCCTGTGAGAGCCGCTGTACGCGTTCGTTTGATGTCCCTGCAGCAGCCTGTCGCGTGCTACGGTTTGATCCTGGGATGGGGAATCTGCACCCTTTTGAGGCTATCTCTTCCATTTTGTCGATTATCTTCGGTTACAAATTCATATACACTCTGGAACGATTTCTCAAAAAATTTTACGGATCCTCCGTGCAAGTATATTTATTAGAGTCTCGCTCGAGTATTTGTCGACCCCCATTTTTCCCATTCAATCTCCTGCATATTGATTTGTCAGGATCGAATTTTATCTGCTCGAATCGGTGAGCTTACGCGGAGCAATTAGAACTTTGTAAACATTGTACGCGGAAGGATGGTTATATCGGTTCCCGAGAGGAGGTCCTTAATTTCCTTGTTTTTGATTCGATTCTTCCAGGATTGCTCGTCTGGCATAAACACAGAGAAACCCTGGGTAGGCGAGTGGCCACGAGTGGGAGCATCGTCTGCGGAGGATAGACCGCGAATAGCCGAGAAAAGATA